TCGATCCACCTCTGGGGATACTGCTGAGCCATTTTTTTTTTTTATTTGCATTGATACAGTTCTTCCAATGGCATGTCATCTAAAACACTTTCCCAGAACAGAGAGAGGGGCTTGGTTCACTGGTTAGGGCACTGGAGTGGGGAAGTCAAAAATCCCTGATTCGGCTCCTGGTTCTGCTACTGATTTGCTTTGACTTTGGGCAGTCACTTCACTTGTCTGTACCTCTACTTCCTTTCTCACCTTTTTGTCTTAAGCCCTGCCCTGAAGAGCCTAGTTTGCATTTCGCCGTGCATGTATGGTGCCTAGTAGAATGGTGCCCTGGCCTTAGGTAGGACACTTGTTACTGTAATACAGATGATGGAAGGGAATTCCCTATAGAAGGAATTTATCTTTTTTAAAAAATTGTTGTGTTCCAAAAAAGAAACACCCCTTAAGTATCTTGCTATGACATGCATACTACAGGTTGAACTTTCCTGGTCCAGCACTCTTGGGACTTGACCGGTCCCAAACCAGGGAATTTGCTGGACCAGAGAAGGTTCCCTGCCATGGTCAGTCAGCCCCCAATCCTCAGTTCTGCCAGCTCCGGGAGGGCCCCTACCCACTGCTCCATCCAATCTGCTTTCTCTGCTCTGGCTGGACTGCCTGGTGGGCTGCCCGGGGGCTCAGCTCCAGCTCTGTGCTGCTGCAGGTCCAACCCTGGTCCCACTGCTGTGGGCTGGTTGGGGGCTGCTGAGGGTTTGGGCTCCGGCCCTGCATCAGCCTGTGGGCTCTGGTCCCCCGATCCCATAAGATGCCCATGGCTGAGGGCTTGACTTCCTGCCCAGTCTCTGGCTTCACATCACGGACCGCCCTGGGCACTGTCCAGCCCGGTTCTGTGCTGCCGCGTGCTGCCCTGTACCAGTCCCAGTGCCACAGGCTGCTGAGAGCTGCTGCCGGCTCCAGTCCACTGCTGCGGGCTGCTCAGAGCTGTCCCCAGCACCAGCCTGTGCCCCATCTGCTGCTTCAGTCCACCCCACTTCTGGATAGCCTTCCTGTCAGTAGGCTACTGGTCTGTCTGATCCAGGAACATCCGTGGTTTTGCCGGACGAGAGAGTGCCAGTTTTAGGAGTGCAACCTGTAGTTCTAGAAAATGAATGGAAGGAGTATGAGAAGGAGGAGAACATGTTCCTTCCTGTTTGAAAACTTAACTCTAGAGTTCAGGCTGGTGCTTGTAGGCTGATGTACCTATTTTCAGGTAAGTTCTGAAAAGCAGAGGCAGGAGCTACTAGCAAGGCATCTAGAGTAGGGAGGGGAAAGGCCAAGAAGGAAGGTCAGGAATTCACACCATCTATGTAGGGTTTGCCCCAATCCTGATGAAGCATCTTAATCCTCTCCCCCACACAGCAAGAAGTAGAGGAATCTTCTGGGAATTACACTAGAAAGAGCACTTTCTCTGGAGTGATATAAATGTAGTCGTGTTAGTCTGGTGTAGCTGAAACAAAAAACAGGACTATGTAGCACTTTAAAGACTAACAAGATGGTTTAATAGGTGTGAACTTTCGTGGGCTTCCTCAGATCAAAAAGTAGAAGAAAATTGTCACAAAGTATTTGGCATTAGCAGTGAATTATGCCAATAGTCTTTTCTTCTTCTTGACAGATGCAGACATCTGATGCAATTAGCTGTTCTCAGTGCACAATGTGAACACAAACTTGTAAGCACTGAGTGCCGGTTTGTATTTTTGGTACCTCAAAAGATGGTTTGCTTTTAAAGCAATACCCTTAAAGGTAAAAAGTGTCAGTACAAACGTTTCCATTTTTCCCCACTTGCTCCCTGGTTTGAAACAAAATATGAAAGGACAAAAAATTGCTGCGGGTGGGGAAGGACAAACCAAGAGGGAACTGGCATAATAAACATCTGAGGTTTTGCTAGCATGTGCTCTGTGGTTAACTTGTACTTTAAAAGAGGTGTCTCTATTCTGTAGCCTCAAAGCAACACAGCATCATGTGTTAAGTGTCATTCCAACCAGATTCATTCCTTTTGCAGCGCCAACAGTTACCTCTTCAGATCTGTGAGTGGTCTGACCCAGATTGCATTTAAATGCAGGATAACTTAGAAATATTGTCTTACATCATATTTAGTCTGTGTTTATGCTCTTAAGATCCAAAATCTCACTGGCAATCAGCAGGATTTCTACCAAGTGCCTAAATCCCATTTGAAAATGAGATTTAGTCTCCTAAATCATTTTAGTGTTAGTTACAATGCTGAGTGCAGTACTGCCTGATTTCCTTTTAAAAATCTAGGCCTTTATCTTTTTTCAGATAAACCTGCAGTGGTGGCCTTAACTTTCTAATAAGTGAGTGTGGAGGAAGTAGCTGTTGGTTTGGGTGTGTTTTGCAGTCAGTTGAAAGGCCCTCAGAAATGTTGTAGTTGAATAGCTTATTGATAAAGATTTGTATAATAGATAACAGCTGTCTTATGAAGTGTGAATTTACTGTTAATAGACCACAGTCTATTATAAGCTTGTTTGGTTTTCTGATTATTCTTTCGTAAGGCAATTTCCACATTGCAGGACGCACTAAAGATGTTTCCCAAGGACTCCAAACTTCAAGACTAAATTAACTCTTTTCAAAAAGATAAAAACAAAATTCCTTTAACTAGGACAAGTTGGCTTTCCCACTTATAACATCTTGCGCTACTGACAGCTCCCAGACAGATTGGGGTTTTGAGATATGTGCCCCCATTTTTCCAAAGGAATGAATAAGATTGAGAGGAATTGTGTGTTTATTTTTTAAAAGGTAAGACTTTGCATTTAGAGAGTGTTTTCACCTCCATGAAGTTCTTTGAATTATAAAGGACATTGCTGTTGGGTTACTGAAAATCCCTGGGGGGTTTGTTTCATTTATAACATTGCCTTGAGCCTTCTGCTGCATCCTGTTGGATTGACCTCCTTTTCAACTCTATGCTAGCAGCTGCACTGCAGAGCTATCTTTTCCCTGGATCCTTCAGGGTTGTCATATGACAAACTTGAACTGTGACCCTTTTGTGTCTTACCCAGCCAGCAGTGCCCTCTTTTATGCTTCGTGGCCGGCAGTCTTCCCCCATACAACCATTTGTTCCAAGCCATTTAACAAACTGAAAGTTTCAAATGATGGCATTTCATAGTTTAATAGTGATGACTGTAAAATAAATGAAATAGTGCTTAATTCTGTGCATAGTGCTGGTAAGAAATACAGCTTAATTTTCTGCAAATCTTTGTCTAATCTCTGAGACTACATTAAAGAGCATTTAAATTTTATAAGATAAAATGTATTAAAAGGTAAAGCCTTTCCTTATGGCATAAATATGCAATTTGTTGCCACAGACTGTCCTGTACTAGCTTTTATTTCTAATATATGTTTTTAATCAGTTTTTAAGCCAAGGTGATAAAGCCCCATTTTGCTGAAGTTTCACAGAGACTATTAGGGTAAGAACTGACAACAGTGAAGATTGCATCCAAGTAACACCATCTCCAAGTGGCATTGATGCTGGTGGGTATCACCTGGCTGAAGTTAGTCTGAGCACTCTTATTTGTTCAAATTGCATTCATTACCAAAAAGCCTCCAGTAGTGATAAGAGACTGGCTGTATAGTATAGATTGGCTCCAAGATAAGTATCCAGTCAATTGTGTAGATCATAGTAATCTTCCTTTGTTTCTATTAATTAATCTGTTTCAAAATGGGGATGGCAGTGTACATGTGCTAATGCTAACATTCTGAACATGAGACAGCTAATCCCCCTTTTCCTTCTAATTGGATTTTCATATCCAGATAAACCTGCAGATCGGAATATGGATACTGCATGTTCAAGGAATGCCATCCCGGTGTTTAGATGCTCTAGCTGTGTGTGTTTTTTGCTTTGAATGATACAATCTCCTAGATTATTTTTAAACACTTTTAGACAAATGACTGTAAAGACTGGTGAATGGTTAGACTGTTCCAGTTCCTCTTTGCCACCACGTGTTAATACTTGAGTCCCTTCTCAGACACCACTGTGTTTGTGAGGAGACCATCATTTGAAGATTGATTGAGGTTGTGGGAAGGAATGAGGATTTAATCTTTTTCCAAACTAGTGTATTCCTATGGTATTCTCTCTCCTATGTACCCTTTATTTTGTGTACAACAATTCAGAAACTTTCTGACAAAACAAAAGATGTTCGTTCGGTGAACCCAAAATATTTCACAAACATGATTCAGGTTTGATGGAATTTTGTTGAATCACAAAGTTCTTTTTGATGGTATGCTGGCTGGTGGGAATGCTAAGAAACCTGGACTGCCTTGGCCTGTTGGCAGCCCAGCCATGCTGGTAGGCTCGAGGAGCCTACATTTTCAGGGGACCAGGTGTTTCCAGGTTCCCTGCCCTGGAAAAGCAGCTGGTATTCAGTGGTGATAATCAGCCAAATTGACAAAGATTTTCATTTCACTCAGGAGCTGCCAGGGAACAGTGTGTGTGGTTCTTGTTCATCAGTTTGTCCAAAACAATTTTTTAGGGAATCTTTGCTTTGTTGCAAATGCTAAAGAAACTTATTTTGGTCCTGATTAGCCCAGAACCAAATTTTAAAATGTCAGTTTCTTACAAACTGAAAATTCAGAATTTTCCTCAGTTGTGTAATTTGATGGGAATTTGTCTTCACCACTGGCGTGGCTTTTGTCTGTACAAGCACTCACTGATCTGTAGCTGTAGTGAAAATGCAATTCGTTATAGAGTTTACTGTGATATATTTTCTCCCATTTGTTGAAATAACAATTAAAATGGCAGACTAATTATTTTGCAAAAGATAAGTAAGTCATAGGAAACGTAGAGACTTATGGATTGCAGGTTTGTCCTACAGAGCCACCTATAAAGCTGATCATTAACATGCTAGATTATATTGTCTGCCTTTGCATGACTTTAGTTTATTCTGACTAGACTAGACTACTGATGTATATATTTTGAAAAATAATTTTAATTTTCTCTTTTGTCTCTTCTCCCCATGCCTGTTTAGGGCTTGAATGGCAGTGCAGCTGCTTCTGGATCATCTGGTTTTAGTCTTACAAAACAATTATTTCGTCCAAGAATAACACGTGTCTGTCTCAGGGACTTGATATTCTGCATGGAACAAGAGAGGGAGATGAAGCATTCTCTAGCCTTGTACCGTGCTCTTCTCAAGTAATGGTTCAAAGCTTATATTTCATTTCTTGCTGTCTACTGCCAAAGAAAACACTGAAACATTGTTGCACTGTCCTGAGATTCCAATTTCTGGAAAATAATCCGTTATAAGGATAACTTTTGTTTACAGATTAATTTTTATTAAATACCTAACTTAGCACCTGGAGGGCTTTTTAACTAATCAGTCACATTTGGGGCCAGTCCGCAAAACACTGAAGATACCTTGCACACAAGAACTCAACCCACTTGCATGCACTGAACTCTTGCAGACTGAAGACTTAAGATGTGTACCAAGATATCTGTCACTTGCTTCAGTACTTCAAACTCTACAATGGCTGTTCTATGTGTAAAGCCTTCCTGTCAGCCAATCTTATTTAGGAAAACAAATTTCAAGGCACTTCATAGCCCGATGAATGTATCTAATCATGAACCAGAATCATCAGTCATGCTAGTATATTGCCTACCTGACGTAGCATCTCTTTACATTTTCTGGCTTTAAAATTAGTTGCTGTAACTATTTCTAAAATGCAAGGAACAAGGCAGCAAGCAAAGGGATGTGGAGTAATATCCCTTCTAAATCAAGAGGAGGATGAGCAATTATTTTTCCCACCCCTGAGTGGAATGAATTTTGTGTGCACCCATATGGGGGCAATGTGTGACACATCACCTTCATATTGGTGCACAAAACAAAATTCATGTGGTGGTGGTGGGGGCCAAAGGGTTTTGAGTGTGAGAGGAGGCTTGGGGCAGAGGGCTGAGGTAGAGAAGTGTGAGGGCTCCAGCTGGGGGTGTGAGATCTGGTGCAGGGCTGGTGATGAGGGGCTCAGGGCTGGGATACCAGAGTGTTAGGGCTCTGGATAGGGCTGTGGGTTCTGGGATGGGGCCAGATTGAGTCCCTTGGGATAAGGGAGGGTGCTCTGGGACTACTTCCCATCTCTCTCTACTCGCAGCAACACTTGGACTGGGAGAGAAAATCACTTTTTCCTGCCATGGCAGCTGCAGGGCTGAGGATGCAGGACAGGCACCTGGCCCCAACAGGTTCTAGTTGGAGCTGAGTATCTAGGGCGAGGGATGCTCTGGCCATGGCAGGGAGTGGTGGGGCAGCTTACAGGGAATTTAGAATGTGAGTCTAAATGCACAAGCTCCTGTGATCATATGCTATGGTTTGGCTAGGATGAGCTTCAGTGTTGCAGAAACCTGGAGCTACTGAAAATCCAGAATGAGAAAAGGAGCTTAAAAAGGAATGAGAAACTAGATGTAGTATGTTCCTTTGCTAGTCATTTAATTAGCAGGAAGTTCAGGTAACTCTTGAATAAAAAATGGAACAATCAAAAGCAGCTTGCATTGGCTTTCTGCAGAAAAGGCCATTTAACATGTTAAACATTCTAAGACTATACAGTCAGAAAATAAGCCCCTTTTTAAGGGGGAGAGTAGCATTTGAAAGGGGGCAAAGCTTTCACTGCTTCATTGAGAATGTAAATGTAACTGAGATGCTGATGCTAAATCAGAGATGTGCAAAATAGCTGAATTAGTGGTCAGGGATCATCTCAAAAATGTAAACTAAACAGTTTAACCACTTGTGGTGTTCCTACTCAGTCAAGATGACTCCAGTTTCTTAATACTGTTGGAATAGTTTCTTTTCTGCATTGGAAGATCTGGTGAAAGCTGCCTTTTTGAAGGGAAAAAATCCCTTTCTCTTACTGCATCATGTATACCATGACACCTGATGATATAGCATGGCTTTTCTGACACAACTGCTAGGGAAAGCAGGAACTGTGTATTGAATGCCTTAC